TGAAACTTGCCCGTTTTTCGTCACCCTCCCTTGCTTCGCATCGAGTTGCCTTGTAGAAATTTAACAGCGCTGGCCAGTTAATCACTTATTGTGAGTATTAAAAGTATTGCAGTTTTTAAACAGATACTTTTAACATTCAAAGTAAGCGATTTGACCAGGTACCAGCATCTTTCTATAAGAGTTGCCTTCCCTCCCCCTCGCTCGCGGAGGGGTTCTTCCTTTCTCGCTTGTTCTTTGCGCGAGGGTGAGGGCACAATTAGAGAATATTTGGCATACGTAATGGCACAGTTAATAAACTTGTACTTGTTTACATTCGCGAAGTGCCATTCTGCGGATAGGTATGTCCGCCAAAATTCTCTTCAACGCGATACTCCTGTCGACAGTGACAGACTCGATCCTAGCACGCGATCTGTCGTTTTCTGTCATCGTGCAGAGTGGGATCAACAATAAATCGTACGAATTTCTGCGAGACCATCAAAAATTTATTGCTGCGTGTGTTACTGTGTTTTGTGTGTCGTGTTTGGGACACGGATATCGCGTAGCGAATTCGCATCGCACCGTGTTAACGGAGTCGGAAGCTTAAACGATCGGCTAAACGGCTGAATTATTACTACCGCGAAATATAACACGATCCAATATGTTATTTGTCGTTTCAACCCCAACGGTTTTGATTCCCGTCTCAACTTTTGCTTAAAGTTTCGCCCGATATAAGTACACTTAGCGTCACGTATGTCTTCGTCATCAAATGAATCGTATTTAAATATTCATGCATCATCATGACGTAAAATTCGAAATTATTTTTTTAATTGTGTGTCCTTTCAATTTAATGTTTTATTTATCTTTTAAAGATTTCAAGACATCAGACAGCTACTGAACGCACTCCAATATCATAATATATTCATGATGTATTCAATTCGAAAATGTCAGAAGCCATACTTGTCGCCAACTGCACACGTGTTCGAAAATACGAATGAAGAAATAAACGCACAAATGCCGGAATTTAAAAGATTAGACATCTCAATAAATATTCTAAAAAGAATATTGTATACTGAACGTATAAAAAGTTTTTTTAAAAATGATATTTTTAGAAATACTACTCTGCGGATGAGAGCCTTGTAGAGTTTTAGAAATAATTTCTTTTCGGTATTAAAAGTTTCAATGTTACCGCCGCACTTTAACGTCATATATATACAGATTGCATAGAATAAAATGACGGTAGAGAAGTCATATTAATAATTAAGTATTAAGTGATAGTATCACTCCTTAGCAGTTTCCGTTTCCGTATTGTCCTCGGTAAATTCTGTCTATACATACAATAATTTTGACAGTAGTAAGGAACCTACATGGACGGCAATTATTTTCTATGCTATCTGTAATTGTATGTTGCTCTATTTTTTGCAAATATACTTTACAACGATTCTCTATATGATTGTGAACACGATGTAAAAAATTGACTATGATCAAAGTTTCAACAGCACCTTAACTTTCGCATGAATATTATAATAATTATTATTTGAGTGCTGTTGTTTCATAAATTTATAAAATGCGATAAGTTTCGATGAACAGATACAATCAGAGGTAGTATCTTGTAACATACGAGTTGTTCGTCATCAAATTTGCTTGGGAAGAAACAAATCTTTTCTGTGCGACGACAACATTGTATTAAATAGCAATCATTACCATTGGTAATTTAAAAGAAATTGCGAGTTTCCTCTGGAAAATACGGATACGACGACATTGATTAAAAAAAAAACGAGAAATACTGACAACGCGATGCTTACCGTTTTGAACACAAAGGTAATCCGTTACCTTTTTGCGAGAATTACTGATCTCTTTCCGAGTTATACTCTCGAATCATTGAGTTTAAATTAACGCAATTCGTCAACAGAATTGACACTTATTATGCTAATAAAATCTAAACCCCGTGTCGTGATTATTAATAAACAACAGTAATATACTAATTCTTAATACATTAAGTTCAATAATTATAAAAAAAACGAGGGGCTATACAAGATAATAACACGTAATATACAAGACACAATATACAAGAATATAATTATATTAAATATACAAGATAATTATACTAACGTACGAAATCGAATACTAACGAACGATCGGGAAATTGGAAGAAACTTTTATTAGCGACTGCTGCTTTTAGTATAGTATACATTGCAACATTTCGCTGATTTTCTTCCGTGAAATATGAAATACTTTGTCATTTATTGCATTAAAATCTTAATTGATCCCTCACGGCAGTCGTATTGAATTACATTAAAAATAAAAATTATGCAATTTTTTTCTTGTGCTATTCAAAGTATTTTTTGTTTTAGTTTTTCTCACAGACCAATATCTGGTCTGTCAATATTTTTCTTTCGGTCTATGGATTAAAAATATTTTGATCAATTAAGAATAGTTAAAATAAATTTGTAAATAACATATACCTTAATAAATATAAATATATATATAAATACGTATGTACAAAAATAAGTATATAATTATATTTATAAATTTATTTTACAAATACGATTTATCTTCATAAAAAAGAGTTCATTTTTATGTATATAGAGAACACTCGTATATTTTCAAATAAAATCCGAATTTAATTTCTAATGTAACTCAGTCGACTACGATGAGAAATCAGAAGTCATTAATGTTGAATCCTCTTAGGACATAGCGCTTGCTTGCAAAGTTTGTCTCATCAAATTTGTCAACGTATAAAATTTGCAAGTGTCCATTCGTTATCGCTACATTAGAAAAATTATCGAGATCAAACGTTGTATTTCGAAATAATCGATTCGAGTGGATAAATCGTCCCGCGAACGACCCGAAGCGAGAAAGGAGTATAAAAGAAATGACGTAGATTAGACTATACAAATGTGATGTCACCATTCTTCGCGCTCGCGATGTACCGCCTGTTGCGTCAACGTATATCGGTCAGTATATCAGATTATTTTATAAATGTTTCTAGTAAGTATTACATTTATAAAATTAATCGATTGATTACAATTGTAAAATTGATCGATCGATTACATTTTATAATTATAATGCCTTCCCTAGTAGGCAAGTAAAATAACTGACGTCTGACCAATATGTTGATGCAACATGCGCGGTACGTGTATGTATATAAGTGTACCTGTGTGTTTAATGAGTGCATGTATGTGATCTGGAGCGAAATCTTCAAATATTAGATCGATCGATTCAACTGCGTAGCCCTACCCCAATACGCGCGTGCAGCTCCTTTGTTGGCGAATACGGTCTTAGGTCGTCAGAAGGCTAACAAGGCTAAGTCCGGTATACGGCGACGCATGCCGTGCAACATATAGCGCCTCTTTAACGCGCGAGAGAGAGGCTTGAACAACAATTTTTTTGAATTATTTATCTGGCAGTATAATTGGTGTATAAAATTTTGTTTCTTCTTTTTTTTTTATCTTTCCTTCTCTCATTTCTTTACACGCCTTTACGCTTTCCTGCTCGATTCGCGGCAGATCCAATAAATTTAGATACAATATCACAATTAGCAGCTCTGTTCCACGCGAGACTTACCAATCTTGCTTGTCTGCGTTCGTTTAGCATTGAACATCGGTCAGACCGAGCATCGATTCCGCCGGTCTTCCCTTCGTCCGTCAGATTCGATCGCTCGTTCCCCAGGGATCGGCCGGACGGCGTCCCTGACTAAGGATTGATCTAACGCCTTTAGTTCCATCATTACCGAGAGCGCGTTAACGTTTGCGCTCTTAACGGAAGAAGGAAGATCTATTGCAATGACCTAAGAGACGGTTCGGGAATCAGCATTTCGAAGGACATGCATGCTCGCCCCGAGTGTGCGAGTGCGTGTCTCATTCATACCGAACCAAAAGGTTCTCTTTGTTAGGCGAGTTGGGAGCGAGAGAATGCAACAGTTTGAGGTCGCCTCGCTCCGCACGCCAATTATTCGCTATCTATTTTAATCGAAAAGTCCCTCGTTACGGCTAAGGGACCCGGTCGGAGTTTGCCAAGTGCAAAACACGAACGGGCGGAAATCGTTCAGACAAATCTTACGTTGGTAACTTCCTCTATGAGCACTAGAAAGATGTTATATCATGCACCCTTTTTATCTGATTATCAACCCTATAGAGCTACCCGCCAACCGTAATTATGGTGAGATGTTTCTCTTCGAAACTCGTGCATGCCGTCTCGACGACGGGAAACAGAGAGCAGAGGAAGAGATGCTGCTTTTACGAGCTTTGCATTTTTGCTTTTTCATGAGAAGTCCCGGTATATGCTGGAATAACTCATAGGGTAACACTTTTCGCTACAACCGGCGATATAATTGGCGGTTTCGCGTCTCGTGCTCCGAATGCGGGAGCTTTTTTTCTCGACGCCGTATCTTCGACGATGATTGGCATTTGGCAGTTGGTGTTAATGTTCAACGTAGCATTGGCAAACTCTGGGGTCGACTTGACAAGGGTTTCCGCCCACGGACGTACGAACGGGGCGGACGCTTGGCCTATTCGCTGCAGAAACGGGTGCAGGCCTTCTTCCACCTGCATTGAGTGCACCAGAGGTCACGTGAATCCATACCGTAGATCTTGCGACATTTCTTAACATCGCTGCGAGTTCGCCGCGGAGAGGACGGCTTGCCCGTGGACGCTGTCATGTTCTGTTGATGACACGCCTGCAATGGCCGCGGGGACAGTTTGATGTGTTTATTAGGTGTACCCTGAAATAAAAGAAGATAAATTTAGTCAGACTGTAGTAGTTTCCCGTAGTACCGGTTTACGGTCTGAACGGGCGATTACCTACCGGCGATTGCGAGATCGTAAACGTGTTGCTCGGTTCCCTGACACCGACCATTCCGTTCTCGATAAAGTTACTCGCGGCAGGAGTCGCCTCTAGACGAAGCTGCTTTTGATACTCTGGGTCCTCGTGCGGTGGTCTTGCCATGTCCCGGTGAGACATCGTGGGAGGTGAACTCATGTGATCCACAGCGACTTCCTGATAATAGAATTCCTCCTCGTGATCGTCCTCGCTGTCGCATCCCTTGGATTTCTTTGGGCTAGAAAACAAAAATTATCTCAATTCACTTTCAGTCTTTGCTTTCTTGTCCTCGGCATCACACAACAAAATTTCAAGGCTCTTTTCTTCTCACAGAAAAATATTTTAATTCGTTACTTCCTTACATTCAGTTTTTCTCCTCTCTCTCTCGCGTACTCTTCAGCTGCTACTCTATCGTTTCTCATTTTAATTAATAGATTTACTTTGTTATTTATTTCGTTATTTCTTATAATAATATTTAATAATATTTATTATAATAATATTTATACCTGTATTATATTTTATTATTATTTACTATTACTTTTATTACACAATGTATTTTTATCTACGTATAATCATACATATGTATGAATAAACGTATGAATATTATCAGTGTGTATGTATCTCTGTATAAATACAAGTATGTTATCTTATTAAAATCAAGCTAATGTGCTAATATTTGCTTTCGTATCAATGTTATTTGTATTTTTATTATTAATACGATTAGTATTCTTTTTCTCAAAATGTTTATTTTGAAGATTTTATTTTATGCATATATAGATAATCCTGTATAACTCTAACGTAATACATAAGTCTGACACGCATTCAACAATAAGCCATTAATCATAAATCAAAAGTTAGAAGCTGAAAATTGACCAATTACAGTCGTCAATTTCCAACTTCTAACTTCTGATTTATGACTAATGGCTTATTGTATTATAGAATGGCCATGAGTGTTTTCCGTTTAGTGATACAGATTGATATCTATATTCTATCTTTCTTAGCATTTCATAAGAACCAAACACAATATAAGTACTGTCAATTTGTACCAAATGGAAAGCAACGAGCATAAAAATTAATCTTATATATATCGTGTTATTCTTGATGCCAGTGTAATGTGCAATTTTTTTATTACATTCCTATACTGTACTGTTTTTTTATGTATATAATGTATTTATACTCAATCAAATTATTATCGTTACTAATATTATATTTCATTGATCTATTTATATAAGAGAGAAAAAAATGTCAAAAAAAAAAATTAAGAAAGATTGAATCGTCGCAAGAAAAGAGGAGAACCACAGAAATAATTGATACGTACGTCAATTTATATAAACATTATGTAGACTTACTCAGATGGATACGATCATTTTGTTCCGTCAACAACTCCCGAAGTGGTGCATTATGAGCCAGGCGGCGATTAATTTTATAAGCTCTTGAAGAGAGTTGCATAGCTAGGGTATATATACATTAGTGCTGAGACATTACAACGGTAACCGATTGTCAGCGCTTTGACTCACGGAAAATATTTAATGTCAATGGCGCGCTCTTTCTCGGCTGTGGGACCAACTTGATGGCTTGACCTCGCGCGCGTATTCCGCCTCGACCTCATAATGCGTCTTACGTGCGAGGCACATATTACGTCTAGGGTACTAACTTACCCCAGAAGCAGATGTGACTGGCGCACATGTTCTTCAATAAGTGCGACGGTCGCCTTGATTTCGAGGCAACCCGGCCAATTGCATTTGAAGACCACTGCCGCATTCGCCTGAAAGCAGAAAGATGATAGTCGTTAATGATCATCGACACGAACGACACATTAATGATGCACGTACATCACGTGGTGATAGACCCGATAGAATTCAATAGGACTTCGCATGTCCGTGAGAACTTCACGAAAGGGAAAAGGGTAACGTGTGTGTTTGCATGTGTGGGCAGCTACGATTTATTTCAGCAAACATTGTTCCATAACCAATCGGCATACCGCGATGCAATTCGCGCATGGCTCACGCTGGCAGCAGGACTGCTTTGATCATCGAGTTGAACAGACCGTTTCACCGATTGAAACACCATCCATGTAACATTTTCCAATGGACCCCCATTCCAAAAGTTAATTAATATTCCCTTCATTTTACTATTAAAACGATTCTAATATTTATCATTAATATAGCCCGTGTTTGCTAATTAAAATAAACGTTTTATCGTTTATTTTACCACACACATCAATATACTTCAAAAGAGTTCAAAAAGCTAACCCCCCCCCCTTCCTCCTTACCCTACATCCTAGAATCCTTCTATTTGTTACTCCTTTTTGTATTTCAATTGTCATTAAATGGAAGCATTAATTGTTACGCGTGATCGCAGGCGAGATATCGTATGTTAATCTATAAGAATCCGAACCGTCTTAAGACAGCCCTGCCGCGTCGGAGTCGCGGCAAACCGAGCAGAAAGGAAAATCGATCGCCGTGCGGCAGCCGCGCCGCGCCGCGCGCACGTTTCTTTGTTTACATCGGCCGGCCGGTAGCGGAGGCGCCGCGTTGCGCCGGTCACAGCGTTACGGTCACGTGGTATTGATCGCAAGAGAGCGAGGAATACAAGCCCACGCGGTCCGCGATGATCGCGTGTTTGAGCGCGAAGGACGGGACCGGCATCTCTCACAAAAGCGAGACAAGTCCTCCGCGCTCAACGTCCCCACTTCCGTGTAATCGTCTTCTACTTTAGTGACGATTACACCGCGGATGATACCCGGATCTTGCTTATCCCCGGGCGTTCATCCAACGCGGATAGAATGACAATTGCAAGTCGCTCCGCTCAAGGAGATTCGGAGTACATTTACAAACGGATTAGTCTTAGCTTTTAATCGTTCGATCGCAGCATTAATCGAGACGAATCTGCCTTGAAATAAGCATCGAGTCGAATTTCGATATTTTATTAAGCGGACGCGAAAGTGTTACATTTCTACGTTTATTTCTACCAAAGCACATCGAAAATCGATCTCGTCAGTTCCTACACATGTCGGCTTGTGAATTTATATAGATTTAAAGACGGTTGCTGCAGCTTGACGAGCATAATCCGGATGTGGCTAATTACTTATTAACGGTTTTACAATCATCCCGGCGAGAGAGCACACGCGACGCGAACGTTTTCCAACGTAACGGCCTGAACCAAGAAGACAATCATGAGCTCGTTAACACGCTACAGTGTAGGACGCCCCTTCAAAGCATTCCGGATTAATAAGCCGTCAGACTACGGCGAAAATAATTCGCTTTAAGTACGCATTCGCGCGATAGCACGTCGCCGACGCTGTTCGGTCTAGTTAATGAGCGCATGAATATTTACGAGTGACTTTAACGACTGCACTTAAGACACGATCTTGGAAACCGCACCACCCAACACCACCGTCGATCGCTTTTCTCAATTTTGCGCGGCTCGGTTTACTACGCGCCATTAACGCTCGCCTCTTTCGATTCTCACGCGGCATACCGGGTGGATGGTACAACCGATGACAGCGACGCGAAGGAGGGAGAGAGAGAGAGAGAGAGAGAGAGAGAGAGAGCGATGGACTGATAAGCGTTCGGAAGCGTATTGACTGAAAGGCGCGCGCGTGATAAGCGGGATTGCGCCGTTCGGTGGCGGAGAGGCTACCGCTTCGGCGGGCTTTAAGGGCTTCGCTAGTGCAGTGACATCAGCACCGAAACGGTACACCGGGGAGATACACCGGTGCGCGGTATACCGGGTGACGGGTGGCGAAAGACCGGCGACCGGAAGCCCCGTGATACGGCGTCCCGCGTATGTATCGATACGTCTGAAAGAGACGCGTCCAGGAGGACGAGAACGTGCGCCGTTCGGAAAGAGGTTTTCGACGATTTCGGAGATCTTTCGGTGACATAGGTGACGTTATCTTTGAAACGGTACACACGCCGGGTACACGCCGGAACGGAACGGCGTATGCCGCGGCTCAGCCATTGCCGAGGTCACAGACCTTCTATGCCGGTCGGCAGGCAACGCTCTCCCTTTGCCTTGCCTTGCCCTGCCTTGCCCATGCCTCTCGGCGTGTTGGTTTGGCGTGCTCCGGAGAACTTCGCAACAGTCCTCTGCACTTCTCTATACTACTCCCTCCCCCTCACTCCCTTTTCCACGACCTTTAGGATACGACGCGATAATACCGATGGCATTAGTCTAGAGGGCACCACGCATTCCGATGAGCATCTTCGCGTGCGCGATAGCAGCCACTGATCGACGCCGATCTACTCTCTCTCAGATATTCTATCCGCAAAAGACAATGCATTAAGTAAAAATTATTATTAATTAATTAGAGAAAGGGGTAATAATGGCAGCCGTTTTAACATTTCATCAGAGACCTTATGATTAATGCATCGTGTTTTGTAAGTGTAGTTTTTGTAATAGTCCACTGAAGATGATTCAATTTAAACTGAACCCATTTATATGACTAAAAATACAAAAATACAAATGTTTTAATTGAACTGTTATTTTGCCAAGCTCATTATTCCTTTCTTTATTTAATTAATTGTTAACTGTCTGAGCCATGCAGTTAGCTGTTTATTAAAAAATATTGTATGTATTTTTTAAGATTATAAAATATAGGGTATATAAAAATCATCAGACTAAAAGCATCCATGATTATTGAAAAAATTGCAGTGGACAAAATCGATATTACTATTCAACACGTAATTGTTGTCACGATTTATTATTTTCACGCATTAATTGTCTGACTGACTTTGAAGTGTTCGATATTAATAAAGTATTCAAAATATAACAATATATTTTTTCAGGAGAAACAAAAGATTTTGCTTGAAAAACATATTAAGATTATATCGTCAAATGCAGTTATTATATTGAACATCCCGTTGTGCATGAAGCGTAATAGAGACAGCGTGCTATCGCAAAATTCGATCGGGAGGAAGGCGTCTAGAAATGTCCCAGGGGTAGTTACATATAAAGCTCGAATCACACGATGCAACTATCACACGATTTCTTGAATTATAGCACCCCAGACAACACGCGTTGTCTAGAAGAGCTTTTTTATGACAGTCTTTTAGATATCTTTTGAACATGTCTGTCCCAAACCAATGTCTTTATAGTGTCTTTATGACTTCTTTTAGACATGCATGTTATCGGAGATGCATGCTGCTATCCTTGATTTGACATATTAATGTATTCTAGAGATAAGATCCACTGAACACTGCAAATACTTTGAAGCATTCTTTGATTGGTCAGTTCGCAAAATTTTTTCTTTTGAATGGTCAACGAAGCATTTGCATCGTAAAGTAAATTGCATCTCTAAAAGATGTTTATCCATCGGAAGAAGCATAGAAGCATATATGCATGCTTATCAAGAATTAGTACATCGATTTCAGCTTATGGGACGAAACTCTATCTCTGCACAGTTATCATAAATTTCTCTCTCTCTCTCTCTCTCTCTCTCTCTCTCGTCCTAAAATTCCACAACTCTTTTCCCTGACTATCAATAATATTAAAAAATTGTTTCGTCTTAATATGGAAACCGTTAAATATTTTCTTGGGAGATCAATTTAGCGTAGCAATGTAAATCACAATTAACGTTGCTGACATTACTTGCATTTTTAATCGTTAAATTGGTATTTTAAACCTGCGTAGGTGCGACGTACGTACGCATTCAACTTTAAAGCCAAGAATTTTAATATTCCAGAAAATTTTGCAAAAATCCTTTTCCTCGATAATTCCCCGATTTCTAGTTTTGCGGCAAAAGGCCCTGTCCTGACGGCGTATCCTTTCCTTAACTGCGCAATAGGGCCGAAGCGCGACGTAGATCTCGCGAAGCCATCTCCCGCGTGTTCGCGTGCGCGCGAATATCATCGCGCGCTTCTTCGTGCACGCGCGGGGATGAGTAAGCCTCAACGCGGGGTTGCCGCGACGAGGCGGCCGCGATGCGGCGCGGCGTTTCGTGGGCGCATCGCATGCGATACGACGTTGCCGGCGATGGAGATAGCCGCCCGTTGGGGATGCACACGCATCGGTCGGAGCGCGCGCGCATCGGGCATCCACCCCTACCAACGCGCGAGTACCTCGCGCGCGTCTCTCCCCTTACGCTCTCCCACTACTTCTATGCACTGCGCAACGGCACGCGCGCGCTTACTACTCGCTCGCAAATCTCGCTTGTGTGTATAATGCACACGCGCGCATCTCTGTACTGCGTAAAGATCTGTGGAGCGTTGTACAAAAATTACGCACGTGTTATCCCGACGTAGACGTCCTTGCTCGTCGTAGCTCCCCGGAGCGTCCTTTGATAAGCGACGTGTGAAAAATTTGTTGTTAAATCGTTTCGAAAACGAGAGAGACGCGGCGAATGAAATAGACTGTACCGTGATTCGCCCTGCAGGAATGCGCTGTAAGTCATCGCCCCGAAGTTCGTTAGAGTGAATGGATCTCGATTCTCGAATTGGCCGTGCGTACGCGGTTCTTTCAAGCGAAAGAACTCGGCGCGGCGTGTCGCAATTCTATTTTCGGATATTCGACTGTACCGATAATTAATCACAATTCGAGTACCTCTACGCGGTGCCGGCCGGCCGGCCGGCACGCAAAGTTCTCGCCGCCGATTACCAAGGCCGTTCTTGCGCGCGTTTTATTTTGCAGCTTGTGCAGACTCGCCGTACCGTCCAAGCGTGTTGTTCACGAATCGAACGTTACGCGTACGCAGCAGCGCGCGAGCGCCGACGCAAAAATCGATTCCAAACTACACGTTTGACGCTACGAGAGTCCGCTTTCCAC